GTGCTTGGTATTTAAACATAAAACTATTACCTAACTGCAGTATTTATTGTATGTAGTGGGGTAGTAATAAAAATAACCAATAAATACTTAGGAGTTGCCGTTTCATCTGTTTCATAGTTTTACATCTTATTATAACAGTTTAGAGTTCATTTTGTAGTTGTAAAAGACAATCAGCGTTTTACCGTGGACCTGTCTTAAATCCCTTCTACATAAAGTACTTGGTATCAATAACTAAATTTATTTTCCAGCATTGCATTAGCAAAATCTCCAGGCTAATAAGCAGCTACATAATCAAATCAAATAAAATTTAAACTAAAAAGAAAATCATATCGCCGTTAATAAAAAACTTATGCGGCAATCAGAGAAATCGAATCGATTCATAGGGAACCCTCTATTTGCGCGTTCCGTTTTACACAACGCTCCACGCTTTACAAGATGGGTCTCGCTAAATAAAAAAAAAATGCTCTCTAAGCTTATTGAAAAGTATTCTCGCCCTACGTTCACGGCGTCTGAACAAATATAAGATAATTTTCGCGCTTCACCTCACTCGGTATTTAGGGGGCACCTTTCATACTTTTTACTGTGCCGTTTGATAGGTACCAACGCGACACGGAACGTTCTAATGTAATTTATTTTGTATTCAGAATGCGTCGATCGTTGTATTGCCGCGAAACGCCTTGATTGCTGGTGTGAATTTTACTTTTAACTTTTAAGAAGAAAATTGTGGTGAAAATTAGAAGTTAATGTTTCTGTACTGAATCCATCTGGATTTTCGAACATGCATACTAAATATTATAATTGAGCGTATTTAGGTTCCTTCCATAATATGTATAGGCGACTGCGAAGAGTTGCCTAACCTTGCCTAAATAAATTCTTACCAAACATACCACGTAACCAAATGAAAGCATTAAATCAGTTAAAGAAGATGTCAACCTTTAAGAATTAATGTAGAACCACTTACCCTTACGGGAGCATTAAGAAAGATTACAACATAAGTAGACATTAATCCCAAAATTCCTTGCCACTGCTCAACTCAAAAACCGTACTAAATAATAAAATAAAACTAATTAACCGTACTCATGATTCCGAAACCACAAAAAATCGTATTTGGAATTATTCGAATGAAATGAGCACGTATTGTCGTTGGTACATTGTCTACGTGCATGCTTCTAAAGAAAATTAATTCGTGTACACATATAAACATATTTACTAAAAGGGTTATTTACTAATTGCTGTATTAGTCGAGTACAATCGTGGAAATAAGTCAATCGATGTGTGTAATTCGAATTAAGGGACTGTTTACACGTTTGTACTTTACGTGTGGTTTTTTTTTAAAACGGACAGCACAGACGGTTTCACACATGGCCACACTTTGCGATCGGGTCGCTTATTTATATCTGTGCGTAATGAAATTCTGCTGTGATGTATTGTTTATTGTTGGGAAATATTGTTGTGTATTATGGGAAAATTTCAATAAATATGAGGAGGTTCATTCTTTTGAATACTTAGTGCCGATTTTTGTAATGAATTTGTTAAGTGGCGCAAATAAAACCATTTTAAAAATAAAACATTTATTCGGAATTCAAAATTTTCTTTACTGACGGCCAATTCAAAGATGGAATGCAAAACAAAGCCATTGTTCCATTTTGTTTTTGCTTCACATCATTTAATTTTCTTTATTTTTATAACAATGCGAAATCTTTTATTGTATTTTGCCAATTAATAAACAGAATAACAAACAAATAAGTACTTATTTAATTGGCTCGAATCATTGATTCTTTCACTGCGAGCTTTCTTAACAAACGTCTTGTTAAAAATTTCCATTTCATTTGTGAGAAAACTTTCAACCCTTTCCAGTTATTTTTTTTATTTTGTTATTTAATTTCACAGACGTCAGCCGTTTGACTTTTAATTATGCGTCTCGTTATAATTTTCTGATCGAACAAGTATTCCATTTAAAAGTTTTAATAAAACTCTATGATAACTGGAATATTTTTACTTTTGAATGGAATTCAGATCAAACAAATAATAAAAGTACCTATTGGTCTCATTTACAGACTGAATTAATTGGTTTTATTTAATGGTCCGCATACCACGCAGTAGCAACAACATTATTTTATTATCAAACCTCATTTGTATTCAACTCATATGTGATCTCACAAATCAAAATTCGAACTGTCAACAACACTAATCATAGACTCGTAAAAAATTAAAACAAAAAACAGTGTTCGTTTTTCAAACGTGGCGCGCTTTCTCGGTCCATCGGGCATTCCGTCATGTGCCAGTCATGGCGGTGCTCGGACCACCGCGAGTCGCGTGTCGGGTTACCGTCTATCGTCTTACCTTGCCTTCCTGCCCTATGTCTAAGTTACTACGTCGCGTCATATGCCGCGGTGACAGTTGGCGAGGTGATATTCGGTTTTGTTTCATATTTTTGGGAGTATGGGTGGGCTGAAAGGGGAGTTTGTTAAAAAGGAAACCTTATTTTGCGCTTTTTTTTACCGAGTCTCAGCCTGTCCAAGAGGTATTTAACCTCCTTTATGAGTACAAGAATCATTTCATTTGACTAATAATAAAAAACCTTGAACACCAAAAACTGTATTACTTTTCTATTAAATAAAATAGATACGCATTTCAAAAGGAGCTTTTATTGGTCAACATTTTTTGCATAATGTTTCAATAATAGAGATTTACTACTAACCTATTTAAAAACCTAGTGGGCACTGTTCTATTTGTTCTTTACTACCTACTTAATACCATAACATAAATCGTATTCATATTAGCAGCATGTAAGATAGTCATCAGATTCTAATCTAACTCGACCACCATGACCACCATGTCTGACGAAGGTGAAAGGAGTATCTGATTGTAAAAAAAAAAACGATTAACAATAAGAACTTGCCTATCAATGACATTGAAAATAGGCGGACACCATCTCTTGAAACAACGACTGTGGCACCAGTGCCTTTAGCCAAACGCCACTTTAGCGCTTGTCTACAGAGAGAGTAGAAAACTAAATGTATGGGGATGACACTGACACGTGTCAAAATTTACGTCAATTCCAAATAATTTAGTTTTCTATTCTACAAGTAGACAAGCGCTAAATGGCATTTGGCTACAGCTGCTGGTTACTTACACGCAGAACATAGGTACACATTGACACGAAAGACTTCTGTCATTTTCTTAAGTCTGGCAACGTGGTGCTTTAGTTATTGTTCCGAGGTGGTAACCCATTATACACGCACACATAGGTAACGCAAAACTGTGCGAGCTCCCTCTACGCATCGCAAGGACTTGCGAATTGATTCGCATCGCACATCAAAATCTTTTTTTTCCGAAAGTCTTCTTTGTTTCTTTTTCCTGTAGGTATCTCCTAAGCAATAACAGAAGTGCATACTTCTTTTTACGATCCATGTCACGACCTAGTTTTTAATTTAAAATACGTTTAGTACGGTTGACGGTCGTCGAAGAAAAGGTCACCCTGGGAGACGCCTTGTCGCACAAAATCGCATCGCAGCAATTAGCATTGTAATTTTTTGCGTTGCGAATTCGCATCGCGTCGCAGTTTTGTATATATACGAGCCTTAAGTCCGCCGTTCTTTCAATGTCCTTGCTGATTATAAGACAGTTAAAGGTATTTACTGTCTACGCACCTACTTATCTACTACTTGCTTTTTTTATCCACGATTTCGCATGCGCTTACTAACTATTTTGGAGAAGAAAAAAAAGCCTCTTTTGTTTCAAAAAAACTTATTAGACACCATCGACATTAACCTCTGAACATCTAGTTGTAACATATTATATTTATATTTTCAATTACCTATTACTGCAATAAACATTTTACATAATTATGACTACTTATCTCAGCTGTACATGTAAAACTAACTAAAAATCGCGGATAACTCACGTGAATATACTAAGAAAAGCTCTACTAGTTTCGAGGAACAGAGGTGTTCTTCCTCATGAGCAGCGCGATCGCGGCGATGTCGCGCAGCCTACTGCTGCTACTACTACCGCGCATACTGTTCATGAGGAAGAGCCGCTTTGTGGCTCGATACTAGTAGAGTTTTTCTCAGTATATTCACGTAAGTAACTCGCGATTTTTAGTTAATTTAGTATGTCTCACGATAGGTATTAGAATAACAAGTAAAACTATTACATATTTACAAAACATCTTCAATCTTATTAACGCAATAAACACAAAAACAAATTAAATCACTAAAACAATGTGAAACACGAAAAAAATCATACGCGCCGCCATTTTTAATAATCAATTTAGATCACGCCCTTCCGATCGCGTGTCATCACTGCCCTTTATTATAAACATTGGGTATCATGGTAAAGGCCCTCAGTCATACAGCCAATAGGTTTTATCCTTATTTTGTTATCAAACCTCGACCTTTCTCATTACTTGTGATTTCCGAGAATCCGATCGATGGTAAGAAATTGGGTCAGTTGTTTTTTTTTAATCGGTGTGGATGATGTATGAGACCGTACTGATCAGATTTCTTTTTCTTTAATAAAATAAATATTGAATTACTTGACACCTCTTTGGAATGAGAAGTGGTTGAATATTGTGTGGTTGTCTTACTGAATAGAGCATTCATGATATACAAGTGGATTTGAGTAATTGTTAATTGAAAAAATATTTTATCATAGCCAGAATTGTTTCCAGAACTTCTGAAATTCAAACTCTTCCGGTTTATATAATAGTATAAGATATAAGATAAGATTATAAGATTTCGAAATTCTTAATATCTATTATAAAAAAGTGTGAAAATGTTGCTATGATTTTTAGACTCAACCTCTACCTATTTTACCGAAATAGACACAAAATAACTTACGTAACTTTTTACTTAACCTATACCGTACATATTTTAATGTATTTCAACTTACCCCTTGCAGTTTCAAAATTTCGTACTACAAATATTATACTTTCTACAAAACGGTCGCCTAAAATTGCGCTTATAATACTACAATACCTACCCATTTCTTCCCAGGTATCATCAATAAACCGGGTTCTCCGCAACCTAGCAGCTCAGAAGGAGAAAGCGAATAACCAACAGCCGTCTCCAGAATGTTCAACGCCGGTGTATGAGCGCCTGCGACTGCTGGGAGCCCCGGGTGCAACGCCAGCGTGGCCCCGGGCCCCATGGCCAGCGCAGATCGATGCTAGGACCCCGCCATACCAACTCCACAGCCTAAGTCCGGGCCCACAAGCCATCAGCTGCAATGGCGGCGATATGACGGCGATGAAAAAAAGTAAGTGGATTCTTTTTAGACTTTATGACGATGTGTGTGTTCTCATAAATACAAGTCACAATCATCATCATCTTCATAAAAAATGTGAACTGTAGTTTTTGTAGTAAAATGAAGATCTATTAAACTTTGATTATTTCGAACACATTGTCGTCAGTATCTGATCTCGTTGAAAATATATAGAAAAAGATAAAAGCCAACTAAAGACTACGTTAACGCCATTGCTCAGTTTTAAACGAAAACAGGACAGTGTCATGAGGCAGACATTATGAATAATCAATAACAGCAAATGAAGTGCACAACGTGGCTGTACGTACAACATACTACATACGTACAGCGAGGAATATATGCACAGTGGCGCGGCCACGGCAAATTAACAGAAAAAATAAAATCGCAACATAGGGAAGCGTGCGGCGGGCGGTCACAGAGAACAACGCAACAAAACTTTTTCACCAGCATTTTGATAGTCGATTTGCGGCTCCCCTAGTGTCGGGGGCGAGGGGGGACTGCGGGGAACCGGCCCGCCTACGGCACCGTCAAAAACATTACTCTGCCCATCCGCCTGGAAGATTTAATTTTCATTTTTATCTGAAACATCCCCCTTTGTAGTGGTCTCTACTCTGTATCCAATTAGGTGGCTTTGAGAATTTTTCTGGTACACCCATATAGCTGCAACCGTTTAGAGATATGGAATTTTTAATTTCGATCCTGAGAACCAATTATAAACGATTTGAAACGATGTCTTAAACAAAAGAACGTTGATGTTATTTCGTTGAGAAAGCGGATTCTTTGTAAGAGGAATTTTCATAAAAATGTATTAACGTGTTTGTTCGATGGAAGACGGGATTATCCTTGGAGTTTATGCAATGTTACTTGGTATCAGTCGTACTTATTCCTTGTATTACTATGTGCATTTTTCTGATATGGATTTAACCTTCATAGGCTTCATCACAAACCGAATCCGAATGAAGTTAGTCGGAACTTAAGAACAATAGCGCTATAAAACATTTTGCATAGTAATAATAAAAAATCGTCTTCAAATTAGAAGGTACATAATCAAAGGTTTCTTTTATGAATAGAAGACTATTTTGGTTCAATAAACCATTGCTTCCTTGGCATAGTTATACTACAAACTTTTATCCAACGGAAATGATTTAGTAACAAACGTTTATAATTGTGTACATTCCATTCTGAACTAAACACTAAATACTTAATTGGAAAGTGCCTCTGTGTCCAGTCTGCTTGCTAGTGCGTGAAAGTGCTCTGTAAGACGATAGCCGATAGCCTGTCCAGCCGGCTATGTCATAGCCGATTGACTGACACCTTCCGTGAGCACATGTAATGCATAATAATTATTCGGTTCTCTATTTCGAAGGAATCGAATTTCATAAATGGATGCGGTTAAAATTCGTCATTGAATCAAACATTGAAATAGGTACTTTAATGACAGTTCGTTAATTATTTTGCTTCTGGTTTGATTTAGTGGTTTTGGGTTTGTTGTTTGGTTTCCGTGACACGCTTGTGAGTTTAGAAATGAATTCATATTTATTTGTGCCCGTTTTACCGCATAGCTTAGTACAACTTAAATTGATAATACCAACAACAAACATCAACAGGCTGTGTCAGTCCATCATTAGACTATTGGCCTCATATATATTAGAGAGATTTGTCATAATCAGTAATGACTTTGCTTGACAGGAGAATTACAAAGGCGATAAAAAGTTAAGGTTTACCAGAGTGCTTTTACCCGGCCTCCATCAAACATGTAACCTACGCCCCCGAATACTGAAACGCTACTCAACTTTAAGTCGCGCTTAAGTATAGTTCTGTCTCTACGAATTCTTTGTAAAATGACAGAGACGGCACGATATTTAAATACCTACAACCTAAAATTGAGTAAACTTTCAGTATTCGGGCGTTAGTCAAAATTTACGATACCTACGGTAAGACATACTAAATTCATTATGTTTTATTGAAATGTCAAAAACTATACTTTTCTATGAATTTTATACTGGATCGCAACTTATGATGTCATCATATTTCTGCGTCAAATAGCATACTTATTTCCTTATAATTAGCGAGAAAAAATCCAAAAGTAGGTAAACTGTCAAATCAATGGATGAGAGTATGATTATTTTTTAATTATTTATTGCATTGAAAAGTCGAAACAATTTATTTGAAACCTAGGAAACTAGCCAATTAACCTACGGTAAGAGTAGAAAATATGATGACTAATGTTCTTAATTCTACAGTACCAAAACTTGATATGTCAAAATCCAAAGATATTAAAGAAAAAACCGTTCCACCATCGTCGATGTAGCAGATAAAGCGAGTGGCAAGTAATTGGCCAACACAAAGTGATGCCTCCGGCGCCACTTGAGAGGCAGCTTTGTGCCACAGTAACAAAGCCTTGATTAACCTCTCTAGTTTCTACTTCTTGATACTAGAACGGGCGCCGTCAATTGGAACTGGTCAGCTCCAGAAGACTGTATGATTTATGGTCCTCAAGGTTATTTTCTTTTTCAATCTCTTTGACTGCATTTTGGTGTTGCATTGTTCTCACACAATCGAACCAACAAAACTATGTAACTAGAGAATTGTATTGTGAACCTGATTGAAAAATAGTAACCTATGGAGTTTCTTGCTCGTTCTTCTCTATAGGAATATATCTATCTACACCTTGGAATGAGCAACTAGTTTCACTTCTAAATTTTTTTGTTGTTGACGTTCAAAGTGCCTTCCTGGTCTAATTGAAATAAATGATTTTGACTTTGACTTTGACTTTGATATTCGTATCTATTCAGTAATCATCTATTGTATTGGACGATGTGATTGTGGTTGTGTCGAACTGTCGAGTGATGTGTTGCCTGCACGGTTCTTGAACCGAAATATTATGATTTGAATGTGACACGGAAGAAAATCTTATTGTCTAGGTATCTCTTATCTTAAACTTAGTATCAATTTATAGAATGTTTTTATAATAACTATTGTGAAACATAATAAATTAACTAAAAATCGTGGGTTACTCATGTGCATATACTGACAAAAGCTCTACTAGTTGCGAGCCATAGAGGGGCTAACAGCCTACTGTGGCCGCGCGACATCGCCGCGACCGCGCACGCTGCTCATGAGGAGCCCGTCTGTGGCTCGAATCTAATAGAGCTTTTCTCAGAATATTTACGTGAGTAACCCGAAATTTTTAATCAATTTATAGAACTTAGAAAAATAAAATAATCGCTGAAATCACGCTGGTGCTGGTGCGTGGATTAGCGTTTACAAGCAAAGAATAATATTGTTCAGCTTCGTTAATTATCCTTACTAATATTATAAATCGGAAAGTGAGTTTGTTTGTTTGTTCCGCTTTCACGGCGTAACTACTTAACCGATTGCTTAGAATTTTTGCAGACGTAAAGTTAGAAGTCTGGATTAAATAATAGGGTAATTTTTATCCCGGAAAAATTTGATATTCTCGAGGAAAAACGAAATCATTAGTATAGATGGCGCTGTGTGTATATGTCACATAGGCTACTTTTTATCCTTTTGTGACGCGAGCGAAGCCGCGGGCAAAAGCTAGTTTTAAATAAATTGATGGGATAAGCCGGTAAGCGATCGGAGCGCTGACCATGGACACCTGAAACACCAGAAGCGTTACAAGTGCGTTACCGGCCTTTTGGGGAGTGGGAATTTCTAGATTGTGGGGGATTCGGTAATTGGGGCTACTCCCAATATTGAGACGAAAAATCCGAGTATCGAATCTATAGTAAATCAAGATAGTTAATAGAATAAATACCGCGTTGTACTTCTAAAATGACATAGACATGGGACATTAGTGTTGCCATGCATCATGGTGTCATTATGGCCCAATGCGTCATAAATAAGGGGTCCAGGAAGGGGACGTGCAAATAAAATTTGTTCCACTACTTATCACCGCTAAGATATCACAGTTACACGAAACAATTGCTTTATCTATCATTTAATTATTTATTTATTTGTTTTGTTATTTGATTATGTGTTGTAGGTTAAGGTTGTAGTATCGAAACTTAATAAGAACTACATAACCTTACGCCTTTTATCCCCGAAGGGGTAGGCAGAGGTGCACATTATGCCACTGTACAATGTACCACCCACTTTTCACTATTTATGTTATGAGTCCCATGTAATAGGGGGTGAGCCTATTACCATATACCGGGCACAATTCCAGACTCTATTTAAAAACAGAATTTATTTAAAAACCCAGTAATACTTTGCCCGACCCGGGAATTGAACCCGAGACTCCTTGCCCAATAGTCACACTGGCGACCACTCGGCCAAGGAGGCAGTTTTAGTAATTATCGTGAGACATGGTAAATTAATTTCAAAATATCGGAACGCACGTGAAATGACAGAAAAACTCAAGTGAGTAAGCCATTACTTTCAATAATTAAGAATTAAGAGTTACTGTTACAATTTTTGGACACCATAATCAGGTGATAAAACCACGAGGAAAACTGAACCATTAGATACATATATTCAATCTGTAGTAATGATATTTAATCATATTTCTGAAGGAACCAATCTATCTTGAAGCAATATTGATCAATGCGATTTCCTGATTCGCCATGTGAGAGTAGATCTTTGTCCAGCAGAGGACATGTCTTTTGTTTATTTTTCGTTTTACCCATCCATAAATAAAGAAATGTATTCCTGCATTTTGCTGCCATAGCTACAACACACATACTACAGAATACTCACAACACATTCTTTGACAATTCCATCTACTGTGGATTCTAGCGGCAGAATGTGAAACGTACCTACGTCTAAACCTGCGTGCGTCACATTTTTCTTACAGACGTGATATTCTAGAGTAACTTCCCTTTCTTTACTAGAAAGTGTCCTAAATAAAATTTTAAATGTGAATAACAGAAGATGTACATAGATAGAGATCGAGTGGTCGCAAATGCGACTCGGGCAAGGGGTCTCGGGTTCGATGCCCGGGTTGGGCAAAGTATCATTGTAGACTACAT